GGGGTCAGAGTCTGGCCTCACCCTCTCCCTGAACACCCCTTCTGCCCTGGGGCTTCATAGTCTTGTTTCCTGCCTGCTCAGCGCTTTCAGCCCCATGCATGCCCCCACTGCCTTTGGCCTTCTGGAGCAAAGGCAGAGCCAAGGAATGAGAGTGGGTGGGCAGAGAAGTAGGTGCAAAGTGAGGGAGGGGGCCAGGCAAGGCTGTGGAGCCAGGAAAGTGGGGGGAGGGCTGTGGCTGATGCCCATCAGTGACTCACGCTGCTTCCACCACTGGCTCCCCTTCCCTCCCAGTAGTAATAGTGAGTCACCTCTCCCCCCACGCACACCGGCCACCCATTCAGAGCTGCATTTCAGTATGCTAGGAGTGGTGCGGGGAAGAAATGTTTGGGTTTCTAGGGGCTGTGGAATTACTTTATGCCCTCAAGTTTGGGGCAAAGATCAAGGCCTTTCCCTATACTCTTCATCTATGTTTCTAGTTTTAAAAACAAGCATTGGGTCTTAGACCTAAGCAATAAGCCTCAGTCCCCAGAGAAGGCCAAGAACAGAAGCCAGGAGCTGCCCCCTCCCATCTTCTGCCCCTCTCCTTTGAACCCAAGCAGTTGGAAAAAGAGGCTGTTGAAATCTCTCCCCTTCAGTCCCCTTCTACAACTAACCCCACCTAACCAACCCCAAGACTGTACTTATTTTTTTTTTTTCCAGGACTGTACTTATTTTAACAGATAATTTAAAACAGATACCAGAGCTGTGCGTGAGTTCATCACGTTGCCAGGACACCAAGTCCCAGATTTTTGTGGCTCTAAGAAGAGCCTGAAAGGGGGAATAGGGTGGGGCAACAGTTAATGCAGGGTCTCCATCCTGATTCCAGCCCAAAAGGGAGCAGTGTGGGTAAAGAATAGCAAAGCCACACACACCCCCAAATCCTCACTGACTCTAAGGTCAGCAGTAGACTGTACACATTCCTCTCTGGCCAGCTCTGGGGAAGGCCTGATAGGCCATCTCCCAAAATAGTCACCTCTGGTCCCCAGGTTCCCTTGTCCCACACTCTTCAGGCTCTACCCTCAGGCCTTACCAAACACTCCTCTGATGAGCTTTCTAGTCCCTTCTTATAAACCTTAGCCTAGGTCATATTAGTTATATATCCTCTCTAGGAGGTGACCTGACCCATTCTCTGCTCACCCTGTCACTTTATTCTGTGAGGAACTGATGGAATCAATTAGGTTACCAACCCCTTTAGTTCCAGGATATCAGGGCTTCTCCCATACACAGTGAAGCAGGGCTAGACAGGTTCTGGGTTCTGGGCCAGGCCTCCAGGTAGGCAAAGGGCTTGAATGGAATAGTCAGGGACTCTGAAAGAGTTCTTATTTCTGTGAGAGCAGTGTGGTAAGGACCCAAGATGCACGGATGCACCTAGGTCAGGGGACCTAAAACATGATTTCCTCTCCCTACAGTCCTCTTCCCCCAGGGTGTGGCACTGCCTGCTGCTCAGCTTCCCAGACAAAACAACAGTGAAAAGTCTTGTTCTGCTTCTCCCCCTCCTGTTCCCTAAACCAGAAGCAGAGGTGGGCGGGTGAGCCAGTTTGAAATGTGAGGGCTGGGGCTCATGTTGTTCCCACTATCTCACACCCCTACCCCTCCTCTCCTGGCCTCAGTAACAAAACGACTTAACCCTTCTTATCCTAGACCTTCCCATTTTACAGAAAAGGCATAGAAGAAGGGAAGACGACTTTCATCCCAAATTTTACTTCTGAGCTCTTTCCAAAGGATCTCTACCTCCACTATTACCAAGATGGCCTCAAACCTAAATCTGAACTTCAAAGGGGAGTCATTATCTGAGTATTCCATCCTAATTCTGAACCTCAAATGGTCTAATCTGTTCTTCTGCTCAATCATCGATACCAGAGCTCAAGAGAGAAAGGCCAGGTTTGACAAGGTGGTGGTGACCAGCTTTCAATCTTTCCACTCACTGGATGTGTGACACTGCATCTGCAACCTGCCCTCAATTTCTTTATCTGTAACATGAGCTGAGTGGCTACCAAAGACATGGGGAAAGGGCTTCCAGGGTGCCCCACTGGCAGACAGGAGGAGGAGCGAAACCAAGTGCATATGACTAAAGAACAGTGTGGAACTAGAAACTGGGTAATGAATTCAGAATGGAACCCAAAAGTCTGGGAGCTGGTATATTAATCAGAATAAAATCATCACTGGGGGTCAGGAAAATGGCTCAGATCCTGTCTCAAGAACCAAAGGAGGAGGCTGGAGAGAGATGGCTCAGCAGTTAAGAGCACTTGCTATTCTTCCAGAGGACCCAGGTTCAGTTCCCAGCACCCACATAGCAGCTAACAACTGTCTGTAACTCCAGTTCCAGGGGATCTGACTCCCTCTCCCTCTTCTGTGGGTTTGCACACATGACACACACACATGCAAGCAAAACACTCATACACTTAAAAAATTAAAAAAAATATATATTTTTTTAAAAAAGAACCAAACCAGACAGGGTATGGTGTTACACGCCTTTAATCCCAGCACAAGCAGGTAGATTTGAGTTTGAGGCCAAACCTGGTCTATATAGTGAGTTCCAAGCCAGCCAGGGCTACATAGTGAGACCCTGTCTCAAAAACAGCAACAAAACAAACAAACAAAACCCACTGGGTCTGGAGAGGTGGCTTAGCTCATAAGTCTTATAGCTCCAGCTCCTGGTGATCCAACACCCTCTTCTGTGGGCACCTGCACACACGTGGCATACACTCATACAGACACACATACACGTAAATAAAATGGGCCCAAGTATAGCTCAGTGGTAAAACACTTGGCCTAACATGCTCAAGGACCTGATTCCATCTCTAAACACACACACACACACACGCCCCAAAACAAAAACTGAACAAACAAAAAAACCCACCACCACCACCAAAAAAAAGACCACAATCCCTGTCCTTTTGGAGCTGACTTTCTAGTGGAGGCAAGTACCAAGAAAAATTAAAAAATTTTTTTTGGTCTTTTTGAGACAGGGTCTCCCTGTAGCCCCAGCTGTCCTAGAACTCACTATGTAGACCAGGCTGGCCTTGAACTCACAGAGATCCACCTGCCTCTGCCTCCTGAGTGCTGGGATTAAAGGCGTGTGCCACCACACCCGGCAAAATTATAGTTTTTTAAAAAGCAGGACAGAGCCGGGCGTGGTGGCACAGGCCTTTAATCCTAGCACTTGGGAGGCAGAAGCAGGCAGATCTTGTGAGTTCTAGGCCAGCCTGGTCTATATAGTGAGTTCCAGGACAGCTGGGGCTCCAGGGAGACCCTGTCTCAAAAAGACAAAAAAAAATAAATAAATAAATAAATAAATAAATAGCAGGACAGAGCCGGCCTTTAATCCCAGCACTCAGGAGGCAGAGGCAGGCAGATCTCTGTGAGTTCAAGGCCAGCCTGGTCTACATAATGAGTTCCAGGACAGCTGGGGCTACAGGGAGACCCTGTCTCAAAAAGATGAAACAATAAAAGTAAAAAATAAAATAAAAATAGGGGCTAGGGAGATGGCTCAGCAGTTAAGAGCACCAACTGCCCTTGCAGAGGACCTGAGTTCGATTCCCAGAACCCACATACCTACATGGCAGCTACAAACTGTCCTTAACTCCACCCAGTTACAGGGGAATCTAAAGCCCTCCTCTGCCCTCCGTGACATTGCACAACACGTGTGCACTCACATACATGTAGGCAATACACACAAACACATAAAATAAAAACTGAAAAAAAAAAATAAAAAGCAGGATAATGCTCAGTGAATAACTTACACTTCTATAATCTTTTGTTACTTGATATGTTATATGTAGTAAAGGATGATCTTGGAACTTCTGATCCTCCTGCCTCTACTACCCAAGTGCTGGGATTTACAGGTGGGCATTACCATGCCTGGTTTAGTCAGTGTTGGAAATTGAACCCAGGGTTTTGTGCATGGGAGGCAAGCACTCTATCAACTGAGCTACATCCTTAGCCCATTATTTTTAAATTTTATTTCCTTTTTTGAGGGAGGGTATTTTTGAAACAGGGTCTCCCTGTAGCCCCAGCTGTCCTGGAACTCACTATGTAGACCAGGCTGGCCTTGAACTCACAGAGATCTGCCTGCCTGTGCCTCCCAAGTGCTGGGACTACAGGCGTTTGCCACCACGCCCAGCTTATTTACTTATTATATTATTATGGTAGAGGCCACAGCATGAGTATGGAGGTCAGAGGACAACTTTGTGGAGTTGGGTCTCTCCTTCCACATTATGGGGGGTGGGGAGGGGTCTGGGAATCAAGCTCAGGTTGTCAGGCTTGTGTGGCAGTTACTTTCTAATCACCTCAGCAGCCTTCTATGATCTTTATCATACACTCATAGACCACAGAACAACTGCATGGGGATTGTTTCCCTACATTACAGATGTGTCTGACAGTCCCCAAACCAAACAGTAAGTAAGCAGGAGTTCAGCTTGGATCCAAAGCCAACTCCAAACCCAGGGCACACTTTTACTGGCTTCTGACACTCTGTCTGGTTGTGTGAGAGATATAGGAAGTAGACTAGTGTCAGAGGAATTCTGTGCAGAGATCTGAAGTATAGATAGAGAGACAGGGTGAAGAAGTGGGAAATGAAGGTGGGATGTTGAAGTCCTAAGGAGAAGACTAGCTGCTAGTAGGACTTGAAGTGGCATGAGAGGGAAAACATTGAGATCAACAAGAGACAGAGGCAAGGCCAGGTGCATAGTGCAGGCTTATCGCTGCAGCTACTCAGAGAGTTGAGATGGGAAGATTGCTTGAGCCCAGTAGTTCAAGACTGGCCTGGACAACACAGTAAGACCTTATCTCAAAAACAAAGAAAAGGAGTCAGAGGCTGGTCT